ATCTTAGGATTCTCTGCCAATGTTTAGCTCAGCCTTAGACTCTGCAATTCGTTCGGTTAATAACGTCTTAACGTACAGAACGTTCCATGATCGATGGAGAAAAGTGTAACAGTAGATTCTATCGTTGATTCGAATCAGAAAATGTCTTACTACGTCTTCGATAGTAGTTCGATAGTTAAGAAGATGCTGTTTATTGAACGAACGACGATGCAACCACCGCGGTCGTTGGTCCTGTTCCCCCGTTTTTCCACCCACGGTAGCCAAGCCGATCAGCTGCAGTTTACTCCGCGGCCAGGCGCTACTTACTCTCGCCGGTAACTGCTCACCTTCACCTCGTCTCTTACTCAACGATCGTGCCGAGTTCTACCCCCGTTGCGTAATTGCCGGCGCGCGATCATTACCGAGTCAAATCGTCACTCGAGCGGAATAAGTGCGTATGCCGGGCAAACGTAAAATTATTCTCGTTTTGCCCGTGTGTGCACCGTGCAGATCGTGCACACCGTGTGAAGACTCGCCTACCACAGAACGGAGCATCCGGCCTCGCCAAGTTATCGAACACAGAGGCTTACTTGGCTTAACACGTTCACTGCCATCCGAAAATCGAAAGGGAAACGCCGTGTGCCGTCAATTCGTAACTCTCAGGTAGACGCGTGATTTTCACGGCGATTTTCGCGAGAATTTTCACGGCGATTTTCACGAGAATTTTCACGATACCAGTCGTCAATCACACAGAGACGATATCGACTTTTAATCGACACGCCGTCGACGCACCGTCGACGCTGGCACACAGAGTAACATACTCCGCGTCGACAATGGTGCGACGATGACAACGAACATGTTAAAGAAGTTTACTCCACGCTCATCGTTGTTAATAACATCTTGACGATACCACTGAGTAACGAGTAAACAATCGAAAGCTACGTATACCTTTCGATATCGAGTGGAAATGCGAATGTTTGGTAAATGGAAAAAAATGTAGGCAGAGGAGTGATTAAAAATATAGAATATTTCCTCGCCGGTGATAAGAATAATACTAGATTGTCAATAATACTATAGTATCTAACGTTCTAACCGCATTCTATCTATTACATCTATGATAATTGATAAGAATGGAAATAGTTATGTAACTACGATAACCGTGGAAGAGAGCGAATAGTACGAACGACATTGAAACAACCGTCCCGAACAATCAGAGCGCGTTTTTGGAAGTAACCTCAGATAGCTCCGAGTTTCGCGAAGATTAGCCTGTCGGCGAAGATACCGCGGTTAATTTTAGACATTCCGCGGCGAATCGCCGTAATTATTACCGCGACAAAGGAAATGGAAGAAACGCAATACGCCGCACGTGTAGGTGCCAAGGACCTTTGAATTTTTTCGTAGGCCGGTTCACTCGGCGCCGATAACACCCGTGCCGTCTCCCGACTTTTCCGCAGCGTTGTTCAACGGCGACGCTAAACGGAGGCAAAGCTCGCGTCCTTGCGCGGATTGAACGTTGAACCCCGACAATGACACGAACCAGGCAGCATCTTTTCGTTCGCTGATCGTCGTGAATCATCAGCCGGTCACGAGCCGGCAACGCGTTACGAGTTTGCGGCACTTTTATCGGCGCAGGTTCAGATACTGTACAGTAGGTGATTCCCGTGGAAGAAATCGAACGAAACTCAAGTATGACTGGCTATATGTAGATTCTTCGATAAGAGTATAAATGTACACAAGTGCAATGGAAATTTAGTATTTCATTTTAAATCGTTCTGAGAATCGAGGCTTAAATTAAAGGTGAAAGTGTGCCGGCGCGAAAATATTTTCGAAGCGTTAAAGACACGGTGCGAGAAAACATTCGAAACGCCTATAGGCGCCAAGGGCAGTGCGAGAAAACATTCGAAACGCCTATAGCCTCCAAGGACGCAGCGCGGGAAAATTTTCAAAGCGCCTAACGGCGGTGAAAGGGTCCGAGGGGAACGTGATCGATGAAACGTGAAAAGAAAAAGGGGAAACAAACGTTCTGTACGCGGCAATAGTAATCGCGAAGAGGGAAAACATGTTTTGTTCACGTGAAAAAGCTCGTACTAGTGAATCAACATGATCGGTTATTTTGTTTATTCGCCACGATATAATCATGCGCTTCCGTCACGATTATCGGTCGTCCCTTTACGTTCCTCTTGCATCCACGCGATAGTTTCTTCTTTTTTTCACTCAAGATCAAGAGTATGAAACCACAACGTGAACTTTGACCACTCAACTACGTATCAATGAGTCGAAGTAACAGAAAGTCATTGAAGTTTGGCGACGAGGCGTCGATGGAAACGTGGATCGAAGGACTCGTGGCAGCAGGGGGAAGCGGTAGAATGCGAGAACGGTTTTAACTTATCGAATCTTGCGTCGCACCATCGACCCCGTCGACCCTCAAAACCCGATAAAACGGCCGGCTTCTATACGAACGTCGAATGCGTTCGCACGTTATCGAAACGCTTTATCCGGTGGTAAACCGAACCGTCTTCTTCGGGAATTCCACGGTATCTACAAGCGTTACTTGATCCTCCGTCCCGTCGAATTTTCACAAAAATAAGCTTCACTTTTCCTTCGGTAAATTCTACGCGAACGCGAAGTCTCCTCCTATATCTCGCAAGAATACAAACCTAGCTAATTCCGATCGATATTATCGACGATCGATACAATTACAGTTCACAGAACCGAACAACTTTAGGAGGGAAAAAAACGCAACAGGGATATGTGGTACGACGTTGTCGGAAAGTTTTCGTACGATAATCGTGCCAATTAGAAGAGGCTATCTCTTTCTCGTAAAGCACGAACGGATGATCCGATCTCGACTGCCCTTAACCCATACACAAAATCCGATAGACTAAGTTGTAAAAAATAAGGAGAAAAAAAAAAAAATATCCAATGCATGCCTGTTCCGAATTATGCATATACTATCTACTAAACAAAGATCTGATTAGAATTCGATGGTGTCTCGTGTATAATTCGAGATCATTATCGACCCCTTATCTTCAGATACCGTTCCTACCGTGGTGCATGCAACGTCGTACTGAACAAGAGTAAAAAGATACAGGTATCTAAATAAAGAAAATAAAAGAGAAGAGCAGAAAAAAAGAAGAAAAAAAGAATTGCAATAGACAATCGTGGTTGATGTAACACTCGAACGATTACATCGAACATTTTCTCTCGATTAAGACAGAGAGAAAGAAAAAGAAGAAAAACAGTCGTTGAATGATCATAATGAACCTGTATGCACATATACACAAGAGGTTTCTCTCTCCCTCTCTCTCTCTCTCTCTCTCTCTCTCTCTCTCTCTCTCTCTCTCTCTCTCTCTCTCTCTCAGATGCAACGCGTTTGGAAAGGGACCAGAACCGACGATAACGGGGCTAGAGAAGAGTGGAAGAATGTTATCGTTATCGGGTGTTCCGTGGCAGGCAAACATCGACCGCTTTTAACAGAGGGAATCGCAAGGAAAATATGCAATTATATTGTTATCGTATTTCGGGATAACGTCTCGCGCGTCGTCATATGGGTGGTGCGATCCACCAACTGACCAATCAACGACCACAACAATGTGCCTTACCCCCTTACACGTGACCCCTTCTTCATCACAGGCTACGTCATATCGCTGACCCCACGAGCAAAATAATACGCGATATTTAACCAACGACTTTTACCTAAATACCAACATATTTTCTGTTCACGCGGTATCGAAATTGTGACGTGCCCTCGCTTTTGATTATCTTAACGCTATAAATCACGCGATACATGGACCGTGGAAGTACGCCTCCACGTGGAACGATATGTCAACTCACCGCACTCGGACCCGTGTTTTTACGCGAACGAAAAGTTCGAAGGTTCCCCGTTTCTTTTTTTTCCCCCTACTATTCTTTCGTCTTCTTCTTCTCTTTTTTCGTCTTCTTCCTTCTTCTCTCGGGAAACCGTTATCGTTATTGATACGGATAATCGTTTGGTAGTAATAAATCGGTCCTGTATCGTGCAAGTCCTACCATAAATATGAAACGGATACGAGCAACGTAAATATTACGTTGGTGAAACTGTCTTGGAACATGATAGAACACGGTGGTTGTGTTATACGGACAGTACATATACCTACTTGGTTAATGTTACGCAGAGAAATTACACTATACGTCGATTGTCGTGTATATAAAGTGTAGATATTGTTAAGAAAATATTCTACTATTAATAAATTCAACACAAGTTCGACTCACCCAGTTCGTGATGTTTATTTAATCGTTTTCTTGGAAGAAGACGCGAATTCAAACTGACACGATTCAACGTGTCTTCGACTAACGTACTCCCAGCGCCATCGTCCGGAATTGTCTGTAAGATCATTTCAGAGGGAATCAATGGTGGATAAATAATCGACTAACGTACTCCCAGCGCCATCGTCCGGAATTGTCTGTAAGATCATTTCAGAGGGAATCAGTTACTGTACTGACAATGGTGGATAAATAGATATTCTTGGAATTTTGGGAGAAATAAAGGTATTTAAACATTATTTTTAAACGCATTACGATACGTACTTTTTACCCTGCGTTATTTTCTCATAACGGAGTAAAAAATAATACAAACTTAAGGATTTAGTATATTTCTCAATTTTTTTTACCGATTACTTTATTCGTAAATATCCTTTATCTAATATCTTTATACCACTCTCGTGCAAAAGCTACCCTTAACTTCGTCATTCATAACCTGCAACTTATTGCTAACCGTTACGCTACACTTTATCGAGAACGACTTTTACTTACATTTTCCACACAACTGTCAGCGCCCTTTTGTTCGTTCGTTACTCAACTATTTTTCTATAGATTAACCACTAAACTGAACACATTTTTTCAATAAAACTCGTTAATTGAAACGTAAAATTCGAGATTAAACCGTAACACAAGCATTGCGCGCAATAAATTAAAATCTGCGCGGTAAAATGGCGGCAGTTGTTGGCGCCAAAACGCCCCCTAACACTAACTTGTCGAAATAACAAGATGACAAGCATTCGACACTAGAGAGTATTATAAAAATGGCGCTTGCTGAAGTTTGCGGTTTAAATTCGTATGTTGATTTTAATGCTTCGCGCAAAGAAGATTTTTATACGCACGATATCCAAGCGTGCAGCGGAAATTTTACCAACAATGTGCAATTGGCAGCACCACCATATATAAATGTAAGCGAACTACTTAAAAACTTCGTAGGCCCTCCTCATAACCATTCTACGTTTAAATTTGCTATATCATGCGGTTACGCTTTGGTAAAATAACTTTGTTATTATTAATAGCCGGCAGAAAAATTGGCTCAACTTGCACAAGGAACTGATGAAGCAGGAAATCACCTGAAAATCAAATTTGATCATGGAACCACCACATTGGGCTTTCAGTACAAAGGTGGAATTATTCTTGCTGTTGATTCACGGGCAACAGGAGGCCAATTTATCGGTAAGTTGAAAATAAAACATCGTAACGTTAAAAAAAAAAAAAAACAAATTGTTTTTAATAGGTTCATCCACCATGAAGAAGATTGTTGAAATAAATGACTATCTTCTTGGAACTTTGGCTGGTGGTGCTGCAGATTGTGTTTATTGGGACCGTGTTTTAGCAAGACAATGCCGTACATATGAACTCAGGAATAGAGAACGTATTTCCATTGCAGCTGCTAGCAAACTTTTGTCAAATGTAATATACACTTACAAAGGAATGGGTTTGAGCATGGGTAAATTGATGTTCTTCATTAATAATATCTAACAGGTCTTGTTTAATGAATTTATTTAATGGAATATTTATGGAACAGGTATGATGCTTGCTGGTTGGGACAAAAGAGGACCCAGTCTATATTATGTTGATTCAGAGGGCACACGTACACCAGGAAAAATTTTCAGTGTTGGATCAGGATCGATCTATGCATTTGGTACATTAGATTCTGGCTACCATTGGGATTTGTCTGATGAAGAAGCCTATGAACTTGGTAGAAGGTCAATCTATCATGCTACTCACAGAGATGCTTACTCTGGTGGTATTGTAAGAGGTATGTAATCATAAAAAGAAAAAAAAATGCACAGTGTATTGCAAAAATGAAATTTCTTTCAGTGTATCACATAAAGTCAACTGGTTGGGTGCATATATCTGATGAAGATTGTAAGGACCTTCACTACATGTATCAAGAGCAAAAGGAGAAAGGCCTTAATTAATAGCATTTACGACTAATTGTATTCTGTCAAATGTTTTCTTTAATAAAATTCATTTCTGAAAACAGAATTTTCGTGTTTATTCTACCTGTTGTTGTCACGTAATAAAACGCTGTTTTATCGTCAGAAAGATAATATTAATCCAATTTGAAATATGACAAATAAATATATAACTCACACTTTACTCGAATACAAGGAAACTACAATATAGTAGATAAGACGAAAGGAATATATCTTAAACACCTCCCCACTTGTATCAGCCATTTCTTACAGCGCCAACCGCCATTGAATCAGTGTGATTGGTGCCGTAGTGCAACAAGCAAGACGTGTCATTCCGTGCCGAAAACGAGCGTTTTGATTATTATTTTGGCCTATCGATGAACGCGCAAATGTCGAGTCCAGAAGAAAGTAAATTAAAAGGTGGACATGCTCCCGCGGGTAACTAAATATATCACGATTTCCTTTAAAAACAGAAAATGTTAACATGTTTACACAAGTCGTAGAATGACGTCGTATGCACCTGCCTGGATGTTCCAAGGCCATTCAATTATTAAAGTTATTTTCTTTCGACGAAAACATGTTTTATACTTTTCGTTACAGTGAAAGCAGGCGGAATGAGAATTACCCAGCATAAAACACCAAAAGAGGAACGTGAAATAAAGCCAGTTAAGGATGTCGATGAAAATAAACCGTCGAGTAGGTAAGTAGATATTTTTAAATTTACGATGAGGATAAATCCGCCTATTAACAAGGTGAATAAATGAAAATCAGTGTACCACGAGATGTGTCATTCGTTTGATTGGTCGGTAAACAAAACGTGCTGATAAAAGCACGAGTAACCTCTCAGGACAACAATTGTCTGCAGTCAATAATATACGTATTGCGATTCGCAATATCTGCCATACTTGTGATAAACATCACGATCCGTATTACGCAATACGCTACCAACAAAATGGTTGTACAAAGAAAAAATTTGTTATTTTGAAGTGTGAACAGCTTGAGATAACAATAATACTGTTTTTTGTAATTACAATGTCGCGTGATCAACAAAATATTCAGAAATTCCGATTCCGTTTCAGCCCGCCTAAAACCCTGATGATCAGTGGATTCCCTGCAAAGGGAAATGCAGATTTTCCTCCAGAGGCTGTGCAAGTCTTCCATGAAAAGCCTATACCAACTCATGATGCACGTCCAGCACACAGTTCACGTCCCATCATCATTCAACAGCCAAGGAAATGAACAATATGCATATTGTTTGTCAACTGAGGGCTACCAGGGAGAATGTTAGCCTATATACTCCTGCATTAAATTAAAAAGAAAAAGAAAACAAAAAAAAGAATGATAAATATATATATGTACGTGTACTTAAAAGTTTCTCTGGGGACACTAGGATTTTGTGCATCTACAATTTCCTAGACACACCCAAGTTTGTCATCCAAGAAGCTTTGGTTTCATGCAACATGAAACAAAGTACCTCGCGAGAGTTTATTACTGTTATTAAGAGAAAAGATGAATTTATTTTTAAAAGAGTGCCACGAGAATTCCTGTACCGGCATTTAAACGAACGACTTACTCTGTTTCTTTCAAAATATTGCTCATCTTATCGCATGTACGAAAGTTGTTATATCGGTAGCACGCTTTTATCTCGATTCTGTAACTAAGATGCTTTATCAAGAGCGTTATGGTAGAATATTTGTAACAGTCTTCGGGGACCAGTTATGCATTTCAAGTTGTAGTTTTCGATAAAGCTATATCACTATAGCTATATCACTACTGTATTTTTCTTGTAGTTTTCCACATTTTAACCCTCGGTCGATCCTAGGTGTCGTAGGAAATTCAATCGACCCGTAACACGTAGGTTTTCACTAAAGAAACCATACTACTTTGCGAGTGTTAACGTTAAGCGTGTAAATGTCGTACGAGATTCGTAACGTTGGCCACAGTTTGTACGAGACATGAAGAAGCAGAAGAAAATACACGTTTTTAAACGTAAAAACGAGAAACGCCTTGAATTATTTTCCCCTCTATCCTTACTCTTACCCCATGTAAATGCACATCGGTCAAGTAGTCACGCGATGTCGTTGGTAACCATGAGTAGTACTGAACATTGTCGTCATAGTAACTGGTATGAATTCTATAAACATAGCCACATTGATGTGTCAAAGGTTGAATGAAAAAACTGTTCAAGTGGAGCTTCCTTCCTGATGTGTAAAGATGTGAATGCGTTACAGTCCGTGAACACCGTTTCCGTCTGAAAATTTTCGTACATCCTGAATCCTTCGGATCGCCGGTAATCGGGTTCGCGCGAAGTATTCACCGTGTCCACGTTTCGTCCGCGATGTCGTCAAAAAATAGCAACGAAAAGGTTTTGGAGATCGACGTGCACGTCAGCAAGCATTATGACATCGTTCGACGTCTTGGAAAGGGGGTAATTTTTTTTTCTTACTTTCGTCATTTCTACAAAAATCGTCGATCCTATCTTGACCGCATTAAAAAATCATGCGATCGTTTAACGTGACTTTATTTTTTACGTTTCTCATTAAAAAAAAAAAAGAAAAAAAAGAAAGACTCTATTTTCTTACTCCAATAAACAATCTTTTAATCTTTACACAACGAAGAGAAATTCTTCGGTATGATATAAACGTCGACTTGGAAGAAAAAAAAACTAGTACAGGTATATACGTGATTATCAATAACAGTTGTCGTGGTACGTCCATCGCGGAAACGTATAATGACAGGAACACGGAAGTGATCGATATTTGGGCAGTTAACAAGCATAATCACAGGAACTAACGACGTTCCCTATCGCGTGTTATCTATTTCACGAATGACAATGAAGTTCCTCTGAAAAATGTGGAAATGAATGTTCACACAGGCCTACGGCATCGTATGGAAGGCGATTGACAAGAAAAACAAGGAGACGGTAGCGGTGAAGAAGATCTTCGACGCCTTCAGAAACCAGACGGACGCGCAGCGTACATTCCGTGAGATAATGTTCCTACTATCGTTCGCCAATCACGAGAACATCATACGACTGATCGGTCTTCACAAGGCGAACAACGACCGGGACATTTATCTCGTGTTCGAGTACATGGGTGAGTTTTACCCAGTCCGAAGAAGAATTCGAAACGATGGTCACGTGTCGCGCCGATTCTCAGACATTTGGCCTGAAACACGTTTCGGCCCGTTTCCTCAGAAATCGATCTCCACAACTTGATTAAGAAGGGCAACATCCTCAAGGACATCCACAAGGTGTTCGTCATGTATCAGCTGTTTAAGGCGATCAAATACATTCATTCCGGGAACGTGATACACAGGGACCTCAAGGTAAAACGATCCATCGTCCTCTTGATCTCTCTTAATTGTCCCCTATCCGTCGGAATCGTTACCTAACCCATTTTTCAACGATCTTCCAGCCGTCGAACGTTCTATTGAATGCTCAATGTCACTGCAAAATCGCCGATTTCGGATTGGCACGATCGGTCACTCAAATAGGCGAGGGTGACGGTGAAACATCCAGCGATCCAACTCTAACAGACTACGTGGCGACTCGTTGGTACCGTGCACCAGAAATACTCGTTGCCTCGAAAAGGTATTCCTTTGCATTCGTACAGACACGAACGTTCAGCGCAAATTCGTTCCCTATTTATACTACTCAGGTACACAAAGGGTATCGATATGTGGTCATTGGGATGCATCCTCGGCGAGATGCTCCTTGGAAAACCGTTGTTCCCTGGTTCGTCGACGATAAATCAAGTGGAGAGAATAATGGCCACTTTACCACCGCCTACCAAAGAAGGTAATTTCAACACAATCGGACGAACCAAACGCCTCCATTTTGCCCGATTACTTTTTCAGATCTAATTTCGGTTAGCGCCGGCTACGGGACCAATTTATTAGAGAAGACACCGAATGGACCGAGGCGTTCATTGAAGGATTTATTGCCGGAGGTGTCGGAGAAAGCGTTGAACCTTATCAGTAACCTGATACTCTTCAACCCCAATCACAGATTAACCGCTGTTGAGGCATTGGAGCACCCCTATGTGGCCGAGTAGATACATTTCTAGATCGTAGAGAAAAAAGAAAGAAAATCGATCGATCTGTCGTATATAGAGACGTTGCAATTCTTTTCGCAGTTTTCACCGGAGGAGCAACGAACCGGAAAGAGGCTCGAGCGTGGTGCCGTTGCTCAGAGACGATGTACAGCTCTCCGTGGACGAGTATAGAAATAAGCTTTATTCGATGATGGACGAGAAGCATCGCAAGCATAAGAATATGTGGGTTGATGTATTTTCGCGATAAACGATTATTATTACACACGGTTAGATATTGATACGTTAATTGGCCGTGAGCAGGTCGAAATCCAGAATCAGGCGACTGTCGGAGCACATCAGGAAGGAAACTGTTAGTAGTAATGGTAACCCGGTAATTGGTCAGGGCGATTCAACTGTTGGTAAAAATCTCGCACAATCGTACCAAGATTTACGTAAGGAGAGAGGTAAAAGCGACGCGTACGAGCCTTCCTGTTTAGAAGGTAAAAAGAATTAGCGGCGGCATGTTTCACGCGTATCTGATGGATTAACGATGATAAATCGTTCTCAAACCAGTTCTATTTTCTAAAACTAGTACGTGCGCAACAGCCAAGCAGGAAGACAACACGGCGTCCGCAAATTGATAGTGGCGAAAGAATTACGAAGACCAGATCGATCAGTTCCTCCGTGGAACCACAGATACAGAACACCAAGAATCTTCGATCAACCGGTGAGAGTGAACGTCATGGTTTCTATATAATAATGGAGTATCTATAGAAGTTGGACGACTACTCCTTTTTTTTTTATATTCGTCAGCTAAAACCGTGGCAACTCAGTACACGTGCAACTTCACGAATGGAAATTTGAACAACTTGACACCCGGCGGGACCAAGAGTTGTCTGTATCTGAATCAACAACACCGACAGCTGTCGAAATCTCAGCGTTCCATACAGTCGGACCAAACGATGGCGGTAAGGGAACATATGCGAAATAATATGACATTCAGTTTACTTCGAACTTTTTTATTCTTTACAAACTCGTCGTGCTGTTCGTAAACGGACGATTCTGTCGTTACAGGCTACGTGTCGCGTGGGATTCATTTAGGTACTGTAATCATTTATACGTGTCACAATTCACACTTCTCGCACTAACAACGACACACACACACACACTCTCCCTCTCTTTCTCTCTCTCTCTCTCTATTTTATTTTATACGAACCCAAAAACCGAAAGATTCTCACACGCAGTCTATTACGTTTCGATGTTGTTCCTCCTAGAAAATAAAAACGAATTAACAAATCGTCGAGAGGTTGAAACGTTTAAAATGAACAAATTTCAGTGTGCAGCACCTGGTGCAAGATTGACGCAAGCGACGCCAGGAAATCGAACCAAGCTTCGAAGGAGTTGCAAACAGATCCGTGCACCGACTCGACTATCATCGGAGGTGAATTGGCGAGAGGAGAATCAACAGAAGACTTCGTTCCCTCGCGACAGCCCTAAGAGCCTTCAGACGAAGTTCTTCGCGAGAACACCGGAGAGTACGACCACGTATTACCCGAAGAGTAACGGCGGTATCGATAAGAGTATGAACACCGCGAAATCTACGTACAATTCTTATCATCCTACCGTGAAGAATCAAGCTATACGAAATTATCTGAATCAAACGCTGCCTTCGCGCGTCGAGGAGCACTCGCAGTCTCACACGAATCGAACGACGAGGAACAGTACGGATTTTCATCTGACCCTCCGCTCCAACGCTGCTAATACAGAGAAATTACATCAGGCTAACAATTATCATCCGGTTGGGAACAATCGATCGAGAAACGTGGCACAAACTCGTGACTACGTCACTGGTACGACAATGCTATCGCAGAACAGCGAGAAGAAGTCAACGTTGATACGTGGCTCGCCTTTTCTGGACAGTTACAGCCAAAGTCACGGCGTGATAACTGCGTCCGCGTACAAGGACCTACGAAACGGGACTCTAAGATGGTAATATTTTACCGGGTCAAGCTTCCGAAAAAAAAAGAGAACGCTGATAAACCGCGGGGATTTATGACACGTTATGGCACACACACACGCACACATATTTTTGTACGATTCATTCTCGTAAATAGCTTAGACGATAGACTTTTTTTCTTAAATCTCTGGGTAGGATAGGATTAACAATGGTCTACTTGTTATCACTTAACTTATAAAATTTTTTCGCCACTTCGATGATAAGGATGTTTGAGAAATTTGAAAGTGCGGTAGAAGATTGATTTCGTTCTTGTTTCTCGGAAGCTACGACCCTCGTATAGGCAAACTCTAATGTTCCTACGTAAATAAACAATTACAAAAAGTCAATGGTAAAACGTAAAAGTATAACAACGTATCGTGCAATCGATAATTCGAATTCCTACGGAGAAGAAAACTGCCTGAACTTAAACGTGGACACGTAAGCCTCGTAAATGCAAGAATAAATAGCGAACGAATATAATGATCCCGAGAGGCAAATGGTACTTTAAGCTCTTAGAGTAAGACGAATCATTGCGAAACACGATCACTTTGTAGTTCTAGGATAAGAAACCGGTGAAATCCATCCACTTTGGTTCATATATAAATTTCAATGGAAAAGAAAGATGCATTATCCTTTTAGAGGTTCGATGATAATCTCGTTTGGAATTCGAAGGACACGCAAGATGTAAATCAAGGAAGAAAACTATGCACGAGGTACGTGATGTGAAGCCAATCGTCAAGGGGCCAAAAATCAGTGCAAACGATATCATCTTTTTCAAGTGGTATTCGTCGACACTTGTCCCCCGCGAAGCAGCAAGGGTGGAAAGAAGAACCCTTTTTACTATTCGCGTTCACCGTTCATTCGTCCGACAAATGTAGTGTGTAAATTCCTTTGTAATATACTTTTTTTGTGATACTTTTATGCGGCTATGTGATAATGTCCAATTCGTATGTATTACCTGTCGTGGAATAAATTTTTACTAAAGGAATCGCTCTTGCCCCTCTTCCTCCACCTATCTCTTCGGCATCTCGATCAAAAGCACCGTAAAAAGATTGCCTCGTGACATCGCGGCGAGAGTACTCTTCTTTTGCTTCGAGGAACAAGACATCCCCGTGTTTTCATTTTTCATTCCGTGACGTGATTCGAGCTCTCTACGTCTACGATCCCGTTTGAACGTCGAAATTATACGCAGCTAATATAAATTTGATTTCTCGTCTCTCTTTCGTCGAACTTTATCACCGGTCTCCTCGTTGGAAAACGTATTAACGCGTTCCCTATATTCCAGCATGTTTATTCAGTTGCGTATATGCGCGCTTACGCACATCTGATTTGTATCGAATACGAAAATTTTGTATTTTAACGGTGAAAAGGTTGAAGATACTTGCGGATTGTAAGGTAGGCGAGAATTTTCGAAAAAAGGCCAAAATGCGACGATTGGTAGCAAACTTGATACAATTTTCCTGTATCCCATTTGCCACCTCGGTTTTAAAATACCATCAATTTCACCGGTTCTCGCGAAGAGCTTCGGGCTGAAAGAAATGTTTGCATAGAAATTTCGCGGTGTCCGCTTCAGTTCGGATACTCTGTGCGTGATTTGTCCGCGAGCCTCGAAAATATACGTCCACCCTTGTCACGTTAACACGCTCGTTCTTATATTTCACCACATCTCGCTTTCGATCAATTCGAAAGTTCTTAAATCCGCAAGAATTCGAGGAGAGACGAAAAAGACATTGTTGTCCCGTGCGTCAGCGTCGACAGTGCGTCGACTGTACGTCGATCGAAATTCGATATCATCCCTGTGTGCTCTGCCACCGTGAAAATTCTCACGAAAATCACTTGTCCGGCTGAGAGTTCCGAATTGGGATGCCCCTTACGATCTTCGAGTGGCGGCGGACGTGTTAAACAAGCTGTCGCGAACGAATTCGCTATCTCCTAACGTAGCGTCCATTTAATCGAAATATCGTGTTCTCCTGAGCGATAATATTGTGGCTTCCAATTGTATACGGGCTCTCTTTAAAAAAACAGATAGAGTATGTTTGCGTTATATACCGATGTTGTAACAATATCCACTTCGATTGAACGCAACACGCGTATCTGTATCATCGCGTTGTGTCCCAGTTAACAAATAAGCGACGGATTCTAATTGAAAGATATCTAATTGAGACGAATCGACCGCGGCGTAAATAAATATTTGCAAAACGACGTCCGTTAATTCTCGTTATATTCGCGATCACGTTGCCTTCAATTCTTTCTTCTTCTTTTATTTCACCCTCTGTGTGTGTGTGTGTCTGTGTACCAAGGATTGTCTCGACGAAAGTCGAAATAAGCAGAGTGCGAACGACAACTGGCAAATAGTGTGACGGAAGTACTTAGTACGCGAGCCACTCGACGCTGTTTCAACATTTCCCTCGGATTTTCCTCTGCCGGCAGAGTAAGCCCTACTTGTCTCTCCTCCACTCTGGACTTCACTTAACAAACTTACCCTTCCGCTCAGAGAGCTGCCTCGTTAACCGGTGCACGTATATATTCTTCTTTCATTCATCATTCATAGGGAAACGCGGCAAACTGAACCGTTGCGCCGGGATTTTGCGTCGGATAAATCCAAAACGTTAACGCGTTTATTTATCCCTGGTGAATTCGTCGAAAAAAGATTACACAACCTATCCTTCGTCTATCATCCCTCGTGTATTCCCGCGATCGATCGAAAATATCGACGAAATAACGGACAAAACCTCTCTCCACGTTGGGGACAAATTTCCACCGAGTAAAAGGGAAACTTATTGGAACATTATCTCGTTATCGCGTCCTCTCCTTTCCCTCCTCTGACACACCTGGTTCTACCTTTCGACTCTTTATGTACATACGAATATTAATGAAACACGTAACAACACGAACATTCACCAGGTCTATAATAAGAAATCGATCACTGCTGTACAATTCGAATCCTCGAATGTTGAGCGATTCATTTTAGCTGCAACGTTGCTCGTCCGTGGTGACCAGAGTGTTTGCACGAGGTTGACTGGTCTCGTTCTTCTCGTAGCAGGTTTCCTGATTTTTCTTCGCCTTCTGCACCTGTTCCATACCCGCGTGCTGCCTTCCACGAAGGCTACGCAGCATGTAACACCGTCTATGCGGACTGTGTCTGCTGTAAAAGCTGTCGTAACCGCTGCTTGACGTCGCTGTTCGCCGGAGAGCTAGAACAGCGTGATGACCACTGATAGGCAGACCGCATCCGCATCCGGGCAGCATTCTTCGTTTACGTAGCAATCCTCGTCTCATTGTACCGCCAGCACTGCACCCTGCGCACACGTCATCGATCACGGCTGTTCCCTGAACACTCTGAAACAGTACGCCAGAACCGCTGCTCGAGTAGGATGTCAAACATCTTTCAAAGTTATTGCTTCCTTATTATGGTGGTTCTAATATTTTCCACGGCTCTATTCCTGGACGTGTCTACGGTGTTAGATATATTTCGCGACACGGTTGTAGAAAATTGGACAGAAACTGTTTGGAGAAACGTCGGGAAGAGATATCGACACAGTCGCGGAAAGTTTGAAAGATTTTTCACGGACTTGGAATAACTGGACGGCACCGAATAGCTTGTAGTATGATTACTTGCAGAACTTCGTGCTTCGGGGGTTGTATTTCGTGTAACAAAGAGATAGGAAATTCAGTGGGAAGCACTGTTACAGATATCGAATGGCTGTCCCAAATATTGGCGTCAAAAGGTCTAGAGCTCTGAATAGCTGAATGTAATCCACCATAGCTGGTTCAAATTTGATTAGAAGTGTCCTTCTATTTTTTCCTTACTCCATAATTCGAAGAAAAGATTGTACATAGGTATAAATAATATAAATTATTTGCATCGTAAAATGTGTAAGACACGCGGAAGAATGTGTGCAATAACCGTAGAAAGCGATAACTTTGCAACGATTCGAGGCTGCCAGTTTTAAAACGACGCGCAAACGCGTCGATGTTTGTTTCCTTAACGAAGAATTCAACGATTTTACTATCGGTGCAGCACGGAAGCTGGCCGATTCGGTATCTCATAAACGACACGTATAAATGCTTGTGCAAGGTGTGTCACGCGTCGGCTATAATTTCACAGGCTTGCGTGGGGAATTCATATTGGGCTTTGATGAAATCGTGGTTCCCCCGCGCTCTCCTAAATTGCAGCTCACGATGCGCCATATAAATTCCGAGCCGTGGACGAGAAAGCAATAGAGGAGGATTCCTTGTGTTTTTTATTTTTTCTCTCTGAAGAATCGTCACGATAATGATCGTCACACGCGCCAGTCGCACGCAGATTTTAGGCTGTATCGTAAAACATCAAATCCTGTGAAACGCGAAACTTTCGTGTGTCGCGTATCAAGTTGGCGCGCTTTTTTTCTTTTCATCGTTGATACACGCGACTAGTGTTCCTTTTTCAAATCGAACGTACGCTGTTAACATTTTCCCACTTGAAAGTTTCAGGGATAGAAGAAGGGACGGGAACGAAGGGTGAGAATCACGTAGGGATATTATCAAGCTTCTCGCAAGGCAGAGGGCTTATTCTTGCCTACCTTATTCAAGGCTCCCATGGCGAAGGAGTCGAAAAGGGCTTCTCCAAATTACGATACACGCATAACTCGCAGACAGTCTAACTAATACTTACTCTACGGCGAGGTCTTCGACGCGCGAACCCACGGGGACCGTGGCAAAGGATCTCCGCCACGCTACGTCGAAAATTGCGAGTCATAAAGCAATACACCATAGGATTGAGAGCGCTGTTCGCGTGGCCTAGGAACAGGCAATAGGAGAGGGCATCCGTCGTTGCTTTCCCTTCTGTGAACAATATTAAAAGCTCTGATAGTTCCATCGAAGTATCTCACGGTGGAAAGCACACCAAGTGACATCGGCGATCGTGTCCTTTCACCGTTAATTCAATGAAAACCAGAGTGTACATAGAGCCGTGCATAGAGTTTCCGGTAACTTTTATTTCTTTTCTTGAAACTAAA